CTCGGCACAGGTGAGCACAGAGCAAGGGGCCTCGGCACAGGTGAGCGCAGAGCAAGGGGCCTCGGCACAGGTGAGCGCAGAGTGGGGGCACCTGGCGCAGGTGAGCATGGAGGGAGAGTGCTGGCATAGGTGAGAGCATCAGCACTGCCTGCATTCCCAGGCACCGCGCACCAGGGCTGAATGGCTCACCGCGTGCCTGTCCCGAGAAGTCTTTTGTGGGCTTTAGAGGAACGCGCTTACATACCCAGAGAAGAGCTAGCTACTCGCAGCATCTCCACAGTGTTCAGGGCGAGGGGCCTCTGCTTTGCCTTCTCTTTCTTGCTTGTGGCCTCCACCTAAATAGAAGACAGAACAGATTCAGGGATTCGGGTGGCAGGGGGAAAGATGCCGTAACAGAGAACCCGGATGTGTGGGCAAAGGGTCTCGTTTCATTCATTTGGTCTCCCTGCTTCTCGATTTCACTCTTCACAGTGGTCTCAAGACTTGAATATTTATTTAGGCCCAGGAAGGGAAAAAGAAAAAAAATTCTTTTCTAGAGAATTTCTAGGGAAAGAGAAAACTTGGAAGAATGGCAAAGAGCCAGGAGAAGGGGTTGCAAACTCAAAATCCTCCAGGAGCCAGTGGTGGCCAGGCCAGGGGGATGGCAGATGAGGCCTGGGCCAGGCCACGGAGCACGGGCCCACCTTGGGGGCAGCCACTTACCCTTTGCTGCACCCGAGCACTCCCACCAGGGCCTACTGGTGTTGCTCCATCTTCCAGGTCATCAACAAAAGCTGCAAATCCGGACTCTTACGTGAAATCTTGTAATTTTCTAATGTTGGTAACTATTTTAAGTATTTGTAAACACCATGCAGTTTAAATAAAATACCGGTCAGCTTCAAACTCTGGGCTTGAACGGCTGTCAGAAGGGACGACTGTTTTGCCCGTGGCAAAAACAATCCAAACAACTCAACTCTGACGCCTTGCCCCTCCCAATCCCATGGAGACCTGGCCACGGGTCAGTGCAGTGCCTTCTGAATTCCAGATGGACAAACGTGGGGGCGAATTTAGGCCAAAATGGGTGTGTGCTATAGTGGAGGCTGGGGTCACTGTGGGTGAGATCTGGAGATGGTGGTGAGGGGGTCTCTTGAGGAACATGACCGAAGATAAAAGTATGAAGCAGCTTTGGAGAAAGTTCTGGAAGCCTGAGTCAACTGCATAGCTGAGCAGAGGGCACCCAAAGAAAGCTTGAAAAGGATAAGAGGAGGCGGCTGAAGGAGACCAAGCCGCACCTCCACGACTCTGGTAGCTGGTAAGGCTTCAGGTAATGGTGGTGGAACTCCTCCACCTGGGGCACCCAGCCCCTCATCACCCTCTTCTAACAGCCAAGCACGTGACCCTCAAATTCATAAAGACCCTGAGTAAGAGCCACAGTACCATAAAGGCCATGAAAGCTGACCGAGGTGGGGACATCCCATGCTAGCTGTGGGACCCCGGACAGGGCCACTGATGTGCACACAGGTCCCTCTGGAGCTGTTAGCATTCAATATCACAGAAAAGGGACCTCTGTGTGAAATGGAGTCCTGCCAAAAGGCGAGAACGCCCCTGGGGTCACGTGGAAAGGGGCTGGCAGGTGGCGGATGTGGGGCAGTGCCCAGGGCGGAGCAGGGGCATGGCACACCGCAGTGACCGCAAGCGTCAGTAACTGTCCTTTCCGAAACACGTCTGTTTCCAAAAAGGAGACAAAGACGGGACCCTAGGTCACGAGGTGCTCTTCCAGCCAGAGGCACCTAGAAGCCTACTCCCACCCAGAGCAAACATGACAGATGTGGGCGGCGCAGGCCCACCTGGGCTTCCTTCTCCAGCTTTGTCAGGTTTAAAAACATCTGTGCGATCTCCCGGTCGAACACTCGCACTCGGTCCCAGTCCAAGAGAAGAGACCTGTCTTTATCCACATTAACCTGCAGGAAAAAGGGTAAAAGAAGTCGGGAAAGAAAATATCCAGGTGAGCACACTGCCAGGGAAGAGAACTGAGTAGATGAAGCAGCTCCTTGTCTGGAGGAAAACGGTCCCGTCCCTACGTCTCACGGGCCTACCTGTACAGGTGTGCGCAGGTACACAGACACGCAGGCAGAGACCCCGCCCCACCCCAAGGGAAGGCTGCTCTGATTCCAGGCCTCTCCCCTGAGATTAGGGAGGTGGTCTCACAAGGGGAGCCTGAAGCCGAGGCTGCTGTGTCCTTAAGGAGTGTGGGAACCTCCACCTCAAACACCATCCCTGCCAACCCTCTAAGGCCTGGCCAGCACGAGGTGTGGCCCTTCTGGGGGTCCCCAGCCCTATGTCAACCAGACCAGCTCTGTGTGATTTAAATCTTATAAGCAGCTTATGTGGAGGATTTTATTTGAAGAAAGGGTTCTAAGGCTTCAAAAAGTTTGAAGTCACTGGCCTATGGCCCTCAGTCCAGACCTTGGACCTGACCATCACAGCTGACGGCCCTGAGGCGTGACCTGCCTCTCCGCACTGCCAAAGCGGACTTCATTCCTGCTTCTCTAAGTTCAATGCATCCAGGCCTATGTAGGCTGGGTTCCCTTCTCTGGGCACCCCGCAGACCAATCTGGCCTCCCTCCTCTGTGCCCGTGGCCTGGGGGGCTTGCAAGGCTATGATGATGATGGAAGACCCTCAGAGTCCATAGCCTGAACCCGGGAAGACCCAGTGTGCATAGGGAAGGGAAAGCAAACCTTGGCCTGCAGCACCCAGTAGGTCTCCGGTTTGAAGGACTGGATTTTATCATGTCTCTCCACGCAGAAGCCCAGGGTAGGGGTTTGACATGGCCCAAAGGAGATGAGGGAGCTGTCCAGATTGCCGTATTTTCCCTGGAAGTACTTAGTTTGAAACCTACAAGGAGGCACGGGGCAGAGAAAGGTATTCTGGTCATGGATTCACTCCAGACACCATCATTCACCAGCCATGTGAGTCCAGCACCGGGCCAGCTGGTGGCGGCGCCCTGCTCAGAAGACAGGGGACAGGGTGAGGACACGCTCAGCAGGGGGCCTGGGGAGGGTGTGTGTGGGTAGAGAGGAATCGTGTGTGTGTTGTGTGTTGTGGCACACATGGCGGGGAAGGCAAGAGAGAAGAGTAGATGGGGCTGGGAAACCCTTTTATTCCATTCAATCCCCTCCACCCTCTTCTCAAGACCCACACAGTGTAGACAAACACCCCGTTCATCATGTGGTGCCCTGTGTGGTCTAAATCAGCTAGATCGTTTCCTTCATACAATGTTGACATTGGCCTAGAGCTAACCAGGCCCAGGGCGGCCAGTGGGGACCGGCGAGACAGGGGCTCTAGCCAAAGGGCAGGCAGCCAGTACCTGGTGAACGCACAGCCGATGCGCAGGTCCAGCTCTTGCCTGGCGTCCACCGACAGCGCCTCGTTGTGGTCGGGCTCGCCCAGGCGGGCCATGGCGGCGCAGATGTCCGTGTCCGTGATGGAGCTGAACCTGGCCCTGTACACTGTCTTTTCGCCACCATGGGTTGGATTCATGACCGGCAGCACAGCGTCTAGGACCTGGGGGAGGCGGCCCAGCGGTCACCCACCTCGGAGGCCTCTGCCCCCAGCTCTGTGTCCCACCTGTGAGGCCGCGGCTCCTGTCCTGGCCAAACCTCGCTGTGCGTGACTCCCTCTCCCTCCTCCGTCCCCTTCCCCGTCCAGAAGCTTCAGTCTCTCCACAGCACTCCTGCTACATGGCTTCCTTTGCTTCCGCTGACAAACCTGTTCAAACACCCCCCTCCTTCCTACCACCCTCTCTCTCTTCCTTCTGCTTTCATCCCCGCTAAACCAGGAAATGCTAATGCCACGGACGCCAGGGGGCGCAGTCACGAAAGCCACCCCACTTGACCCATCTCCTTTCCTTCTAGAAGGCAGAGTGCCTCTAGAGGGGTGGGTGGAACTTTTAAGAGACTGAAGAAAAGCCAGGGAAGGAAAACAGAATGAGGAGGAAAAGGCAAAGGGCAGGAACGGGGAGGGCACAGGGGACTCCCAAAGTGGGAGCTTCGGGGGGCTCAGAGCTAAAGCACAGCGTGGGGCCTGGAGCCAGACTCACTAGGAAGGCCATGCAGTATATGGGGAAGAGGTGCTTTCGTTTCGGAGGGGAGAAAGCCCCATGAGCCTCCACCCCCAGATGCAAAGGCCCCCCAGGGGAGGAGCAACCCTGTAGGGGAAGGGCCGGGAGACGAGTGTCTGGGAAGGGACAAAGCGTAATCGTGTTTACTGAGGGTGCTGTGGAACAGGGGGTGCCCCGAGCTCCCTCTGTCACACAGGAAGCATTTCCTGAGCCCCAAGGTGTGCCAGGCCCCAGGTGAGAGCTGGGGATGCAGAGGCAGGAGGGTGAGCGGCACCAGAGGACACCTGCAGTCAGGACCCACGTGAGGGCGCCACAGCTGCAGGCGAGGCAGGCTCGAGGGCATCTTGGGTGGGGCGAGGACAGTGAAGGCCGGAGCTGAGGAAAGGAGCGAGGAACGCGGCCGAGTGGCAACCAGCCTCGGCCGAAGGTCCCTGAGAGGTGCCCAGTAGCCTCGGATGCTGAAAACCAACGCTCTCCTATCCACCAAGAAAATTCTGCCCTTTCTGTTTGCTCACACAGTGCACCCCAGCAGGGGAAGTAACACCCCTTCGCCCTTGGTAGAGTCCATACGTTTGAAAGTGTCTCTGCAGTTTCCAAAATAAAGGAGGAAAGAAAAGGCATTTCTAAGGCAATGTAGTGGATTCCTGGGCTGCAGCCCCCGGAATGGGGTGACTGCGGGTACGGCTGGCAGGAAGGCCCGAAGTGAGGACCGCAGTGGGCCCCCCTCTCACCTCAAAGCAGATGTTCTCCCCCTCCTTGTCACAGTCCAGCCACAGCACGATGTAGTCGCAGCCTTTGCCCTCCACCTGCCACGCAGCACACAGCGACTGGCACCTCCGTGGCCCGGCCCGCAGTGCCCACCCACGGTGCTCCCACCCAGTCCCTGAGCCCCGCGGAGCAGGACGGGTGCCCAGAGCGGCGCCTGGGCAGTGAGGCTGCCTTCGCCACTCAGAGAACTTTGCTCTGAACTTAGTTTTTTGGACACAAAATGGTTATAAATGCAATATCATCTTAACCCCAAAAACCGCACGGAAGAGGGCTGAAATGAGATAAGCTTAAAGGTTAATGGTGGTTGTCTTAGGTCGTGTGATTATAGATAATTTTTTCTTCCTTCTACTTTCTAATATTTTCCATAATACGTATGCATTTGTTTTAAAACTAGAAAAACCACCACCACCACACAATTTAAAAAGCAGAATTTCTGCTCTCCAGGGCTGAGTGACAGGGCTGCCCTGGTGGGCCAGTCAATGGTTCTAAGGCGAGGAACAGGCCTGAAAGGTGCCTCATGGGCCAGCAGGGGGCGCTCAAAGAAAGGGTGGGGAGGCCCGCCCAGGGCTTCCAGCGAAGGCCTCCAGGTTCATGAAAGGGGGAAGGACCCGGGAGGCCGCCTGCAGTGCCGGAGGCCCCGGATGGAGGCTTCCCAGATGTCGGTGCCCTAGCCCGCCCCACACACCTGCAGGAACTTCACCATGTTCAGCTTGGGGTTAGCTTCCTTCTTCTCTGTTGGCGCTTGGCTGAACAGCTCTGCGGGGTCCACCTTATCCCATTTGTTGTACTTTCCTACAAACCACAGCCACAGTGACATCTGAATCACACTTCTTGGCTCACAGAGCTTGACCTCTGCAATGGTCGTAACCCCAGGAGGAAAGGGACGGCTTGAACAATTTGCCCAGGACAGCCCCACAACTGGAGGCAGAGCTGGGCCTTCGTTCCCCTGGGCTGCTGAGGTGACACCACACCGTGGCCACCCCCAGGAGCCACCCCTGGCCAGGGCCACCGCTGCCCCAGCCTCACTTCAGGACGTGCCCTGTGGCTGGCAGTGCCATTCCTGGGCTGGCTCACTTTGCCAGAGCACCGAACCACACCACTCATACTTCTGCCTTCTCTCCCAGCCTGAATTTCTGCAACTCTCCCCCCACCCAGCACGTGACCGCACACAGGCCAGGGGCTCAGATGATCCCCGTGGGAAATCAATCTTTTGAGCCTCATGACTGGTACCTCCACCTACTAAGCACTGAGCCCTCTTTCTTTTAGTCCCCATTTCGTGCAGCCTGGGAGAACGGGGTCAGATAGAGTCAAATTCAAATCCCAGCTCCCCACCTGCTGGCTGGTGACAAAACTCAAGAGTCCAAATGCTTGGCCACACAACTGAATCAATGTCATTGTTGTCACTGAGCAGCAAGAAGTGTTGAGACTTTGTTGTATGCTAAGCTCTCTACCTTTCACGGTCACACTGAGTCCTCAAACAATCCTGGGAAGTGGATGGCACCGTCGGAAGAACCACTTCACCCATGTGGGACAGAAACTCATAGAGGCCCCAGTCCCAGCCCATGAGCCCCTGGAGCAGGGGTCAGAGCCCAGGCCGGACTCTTGTCAACCACAGGGCCCTGCACCTGGCTCTGCTGGGTCACTAAAGCTGGCTCTTCCAAGGTGACAGATAGCAAAGATACAAGGATGACAATGACGGCCACCGAATGACCACTGGGCAACAGTTACATTCAGCAGGAACCACCTCCTGAATGCCTGCATGGGCCAGGCCCCCCTGAGTTGGGCATTCACCACCTCTAGGAAGCACAGGAAGAAGGAGCATAGGGCATGCAGTGACTAAGGGGTGTCTCTGGGATGGGGACCCAGGGGGCACTAAGCTCCAAAACCCGGGTTCTGGGCACCTCACCCAGGGACCCTGGGTCACCTCTTCATGATCCGTTGGCCTCAGGACTCATGGGTTCTGCACACGCTTCTCTGCCTGAAGCCCTCCCCTGGCTCTAACTAGACCCACGGCAGCACTCTGCAGGGCTTCCCTCAGAGGGATGGGGGGTGGGCAGGGGCTTGGGGGCTCACCCAGGAAGTCCAAGGTCATCACGTGACCACAGACAGACGTCATCTTGAAGCGGACGGACTGGCCAGCGAAGGTCCCGCTGTACTCGTGCACTGAGCACGTTCCGTTCAGCCCTTTGTGTGAGGACATGTTTCCTGCAAGGGAGAAGTACAGTGATGGCTCGCCATGCAGAGCCCTGGGTCGGCTGAAGGCCAGGAGCGCCCTCTCTGAACGCTCTCAAGAGCAGGCACTCTTGGGCCCTTCGCTGCATTTTCTGCCTCACTTCTTTCCAACTTCACTCGAAGGCCTCTGGGGGCCTCCTCATTATCAAGTCCCTCGATGTCTTCTCATGCTCCCCACTGACGGCCCTTGGGCTCTGGGGACTGGGCACTTCTCAGCTCTCCCCTTCCCTTCAGAGAGAAGCCAGCCTGCTGTCCTAGCCCAGGGGAGGTCACGGTGGGCGTGTGCCATTTCTAGGTACCCAGCACCCAGGCACCCTTCCTGTCTGCAGGGAATTCAGAGATACGAAGGGAAGCAGCACCCTACCCGCTGCCTCAGTAGCCGGAGCGGGGCTAGCCTGGTGTCTCAGGAGGGCTGTAGACAAGGGTCAGCCTGGTGGCTACTCTCGAGTGACGCGAGGCACACCAGCTGCAGAGGTAGCGGTTCAAGGCAGGGGCAAGAGTCCTGGGGTGACAGTGTCCGTGGCATGGCCTCAGACTGACTCTGGGGTCTAAGTTCGGGGTCAGACTTAGACTAGGGTGGGCTCCTAGCTCTGTCTTCTTCCTTCCAGTGAATTCTCTTTCTGTGTGAGTTACCAGGGCTGGTTGCTGCTTACGCCCAACAGCCTGATAGGCGCAGTGCTCTTACAGGGGCTTGCCTCTGTGACCTCGGCCTGGATCCCTTGGGAGTCCCAGCCCTGGCCCGCACCGGCTGCGGCAGTAAGTGCATCCCACAGTGACCAGTACCGAGGGGCTGCAGTGGTGCCCGCTGTCCTGAAGCACGTCAGCTCCAGAGGCTGGGTCACGCTTGGGGAAAGAAAGAAACGACCATGCTTACAGTGCCCCCTCCGAGGGCTATCCTCCCTACCTCGAGAGAGGATTTTAGCAATGGACTGGGCCAAGGATGGCTTTTCTGCAACCATGAGCACGGTCTTCATCTTGTGTTAAAGCTGCCAGGGGCTTCGGCCCTTCACACTCCAGTCTCAGAGAGATGGCAATGAAGGTCAGAAACTTCTCTTCTGCAGCTCAACACTACTGTCAGCGCTGACTCCTGAAGAGAAGAAGAGACACACTGAAAACAGAGATACTTCCAATGGAACCTCTACCACTAAGAAGGAAACTCACTTAAAAAAATGAAAAACAGGGGCATCTGGGCGGTGTAGTTGGTTGAGCATCTTGGTTTGAGACTCTTGGTTTCAGCTCGGGTCTGATCTGAGGGTCGTGAGATTGAGCCCCTCGTTGGTCTCCACGCTCAGTGGGGAGTCTACTTGGTTTCTCTCTCCCTCTCTCTCTGCCCCTACCCCCGCTCGCACGTGCTCTCTCTCTCTC